AGTAGGAACAACACCATGCATCCTATCTCAGCATATGATCTTTCCCATGTTTTTCTTCTTTATATTTCAACTCCTCTAATTCTTTGCAAACCAGCTAGCTTCTAAATCTGAACCAGTCCTATAACTCGCGGTCCATGTCAAGTGGGATTTCAACTTAGTTTTTAATGCAATAAAAAAAAGGTATTTGCATTAACAATGCATTATTGGGTATCATGATTTTTTTTCAATAGGTCATAAAAGATTTTTTTAGCATTAATTAAATACTAAAGTAGAAAGCTAATTGTTTTAGTAAAAGCAAAATATAGATGGATCCCTCTTACCCATTGATCACGGTTCTGGTTTGGGATCTGGGAGTTTTTAGTTCTATACTTAATGAAATTTGAAACATATTACATGATGGGTGTGATTGAAATTGCAGTTGAAACTATGTTTATATAATTTTTTTATTTAAAATTAATTTTTGTAGTGTTTTCTGAATGTTTTGAAGTATTAATATTAAAAATAAAATTTTAAAAATATATTATTTTAATATATTTATAAACAAAATATATTTTACAACGTAACCTACACTCTAAAATTTTAGAACTAAATATACACACATATATAATAATAATAAAAAAAATGATCAAACCGGAATGAAACCAAGTTTAGATAAAAATAAAGCAATTTTTTTTAAAATCAATTTAATAATTTAGTTGACTTAGAAAAATACATTTACAATTCGTTGATTATATATTTTTTTAACAAAAATAATAATTTTTTTAACAAAAATAATAATTTTTTTATTTTATAAAAAATAAAAATAAAAATAAAGTAAGAATGACTAGACCGGTTTAAAAACCAGAATAAATTGTTATAGGCAATTGTCCTTATGTTATTAGTAGGTGTTACAGTGCAAATATATTAGAATCAAATGGTCAGGACATTACTAACTAGCGATGACTATGAACAATTCCTAAATATTACGAAATAATAAATACAAAATGGTTTTTATTAGCGTTGAGTTTTTTGCTTCTACAGATGAGATACGAGTAAGGGTGTCAAAACCGTGCTGATCGTCAGCGAAAACAATCTTGGAAGGCTGTGGCGGCCAGGAGATTACCAAAAAACAATTAAAAAATAATGGTGGATTTGCGTGGTTAATATATAATTTGGAGGCTGGATTATTATTAATTAGTCAATTGACACGGTATTAATGAGTTAAGATTCCCTCAAATCAAAAACTATTATTAGAGTGTCATTTCCATTGGCAGACAATCCTGCGGCGACTCTCCTACTAACGTGAGAGATTTGTCTTTGATTTTGTACAAAGTTGACAAGTGGAAACCTGATGATTAGTGGAGAACCCATGCAGCCATCAACGGCCACCGTCGATACCTTGACTTGCACCCACTATATGGATAAATGCGGCTCAAAATCGTATTTTATTGAAGCGTATAATTAAATTGTTGGGTCTTTTTGTTGTTTTTTTAATCTAAAGCAATAGATTTTGACATTTGATTTGCATATGATTTATTAAAAAAAGGGTTTTTTTTCTTCACAAAATTACCCTCTACCTATTAACCCAACCCTGTCACATAAAAAAATATATAACAAAATAACAATTTATGAAAAAACTAACCAATGAAATCCATTAATTCCAAAATATACAAGAAAACAATTATATATTTAATAAAAATAATAATATATAAAAAAAAGAAAGAATTAACAAACAAAACTTGTAGGATTAACATAATTTCATCATTAAAATTAACAAAAATTAATATAATGTTAATGTAAATACTAATAAATTCTTTTATTAATCAAACTATTAAATTTGATGGTGAAATATTAGTTCCAACATGATATGATTGCGGTTTGATAAGAACTCATTTTATTCCCATTGCATAAAATATAACCTATATTTGTTGCTTATTCAAAGGAATACTTGGTGGAAGAAAAATTCAAAGCCATACAAGAGGGAAAATGCATCTCATTGTAGCACTCTTTATATATATATATATATATATGATTGAATGAAAACCAACAAGGTTTGGGCTCAGCAAGTCGGAGTAGGCTGAAGGAATATATATTTTTTTATTTATATAGTGACGATTGCATGTCAAAAATCGAGGTATGGTATATATAGATGTATAGATGCCAGCAACTTCTTAATTTTATTAATCTCAGCGGCATGAAAGCTCCAAGAAACAGTCTAGCCTGTTTGAAAATATAATTACTATTTAAAAAAAAAAAATATTAAAAAAATATTTTTTATTTTTTAAAAAAATATTTTTAAAATTAGTACACTAAAACAATTCAAAATATACAAAAAAAAATTAATTTTTAATAAAATAATTTTTTAAATTTTTTGAAAACACAGTATAACCGCTTTTCCAAACTCTCACCTGTCCTTCTGTCATTGTCGCATCAAGGAGCCTCAAATCCACAGGCTTCACAATTTTTAACTCCTCATTTGACCAACGATTACAATAAAAGAAAAGCAGAAAATAGTTGAAGGATTTAGGGGTTCTTCGGAAGTATATTAGTGGTTTTTTAAAGTGTTTTGTATTTAAAAATATATTAAAAGAATATATTTTTATTTTTTAAAAATTATTTTTAATATCAGAAAATTAAAATAATAAAAAAATATATTTTTTAAAAAATTAAATTTTGCCTAACACTCAGTTAGAACACAGTTCCAAAAGCGTGGATCCCTGGGAAAAAATAATTCTATATTTTCGTTTTGATAAATGTGGGTGTCTCGAGGCCTGGGTCAGGCCTGAATGATTGAGTGACATTCACAAGCTTTGGGCCTCTGAGGGTGAGTTGCTTCCTCCAGTTAACGTAAATGGGCTCGAGCAGTTAGGCTAGGCTAAATAAACTTTTTTTTTTTCCTGAATCCATCTGTATTCCACTAGAAATAATAATAATAAATAACTTCCCTTGAAGTGATTAACTGGCACACGTGAATATAATCTTTTGCTCGCAAAAAGGTTTTTACTTGGTCTGGGATACAACTAATTTTTTTAAGCATAAAAAAGATATAGTACTTTAAAAATATTAATAAAAATCAATGATGTGAATTATAAATTTATGTAGATAAAATAAACTAATATTATTTAATTAAAAGATAAAAAATAGATGAGGATAAGAAGAAAAAAAAACTGAATTTCTAACTAATTTAATATAAAATAATAAATAAAAAAACAAAAAAAAAACCCGAGATATTTCAAGTTAGCATGCCAAGATTCCAGAGATTATGATAAGTTAATGAAAATAATTATAAAACTTAATTTTTAATAAATTTAATATATAATGATGAAATACAAAATTAATTAACCAAAAAAATTGTGAACTCGTGCAAGTCCACCAGACCCTGAAAAAATCAGTAAAGTTTTATTTTTTAATTAAATTAAATTAATTATGTGAGAGTAAAAATAAATTATTCAATTTATGATATTTTGTAATAAAAAAAATTGTGAACTCGTGCAAGTTCAACAGACACTGAAAAAATCAGTAAAATTTTATTTTTTAATTAAATTAAATTAATTGTGTGAGAGTAAAAATAAATTGTTCAATTTATGATATTTTGTTTTTATTTATTTTTTATGTCACTCTATTCTGAAAACAAGTGTGATTTTTTTTGGTTATTAAATTTTTAAATTTTTATTATTCTTTTTAAAATATTAATATGAGAAAAACTCGCGTATTTATGGATGAATTATGAGTATTAATATATTAATGAATATTTATTATAATTAATAAGCATTCATAATAAATTATAAATAATTAATGTTTTGGTTTTTAAGTTTATTAAAAAATAACAATTAAGAATTTTTTTGAGTTTTTTTTTATTATTGGTTTTTATAAGACTTGTTTTTCTTTTCATTATTTTCACTATTGATCTTAGATTTTTTTTTTCTTTATAAAAAGAAAGTTGAGTTCATTTCATTTAGTTTGTTATATCCTTTAAAGGTGTTGTTGTTAAACTCACGTCAGATAATTACCGAAAGATAACTTACACTAAATGACAAACAATTACACTTCAAGAATAAATAATTACCATATGACAGACAATTATGCTTGGAGAATAAATGATTCAATCATCAACAGCAACAACTTCAAGTAACTCTTAACAAATAATTTTTTTAAACTTCTACTGAGGTCATATCTCTCAATTCAATACTTATTATATAAATAGCTCAATCTTTTTTTTAGAAAAAAAATTATGCATATTTATTTTTACATGATAATATTCCATACAGGTAATTTTTTATTCAATAAAGATTTACAAATTTATAAAACAACAATAATAACAATTTTTCCAACTGTTTATTTGGCCTCCAGCTGCTTCTCTGTATATTTAAAAAAAACAACTCATTTTTTATATAAAATAACTTCACTTCTAATGAAAAAAAAATATTTTTCTTGAGAGTTGAGGCCATTATAATATATTTTAATGTTCTTGTTACTTAATTATTAAGTTATTTGACAAGGATAAAAAAATCCTTAGAACCATTGTTTTGCAGAAAACTTGGTGGGCTACTATGATGCGTATATGATAAAACTAATAAATATTATTTTATAAACTTAAATATTTTTTAAATTTTCTATTATATTTATGTTGTGTTAGATTTGTATTATCTAAAGTGATAATCTCGTATGTTACTAGAGAAATATGTTTATATAATTTTTTTTAATGTAAACATCTCAAGAAATATTTAAGAAATTTAATATAAATATCTAAATTATAATATATTTAACATATAAATATATTTAGAAAGATATTTAATTTTAATTGAGATCGTGCCGACAACATTCCTTGAAATGCTGAAGTGACGGCAGACCACATTAATCGATCAATTAATGATGCTGATCAAGTTAAATAAATGTATTAAGAGTTATTAAATGCTATCTTACAGAAGTGTGTTTGGTGGACATATTAATTTTCGATTGGACCGAAAGGAAAAAGGATCATCACGCGAGGCTGACATATCAAGGCCCTGCCCTGTAAAAGTAACTAGACAGACAGACAGACAGACAGGCCACACGCTCGTTGCATTTAACGGACAACGCCGTTCCATCCACTCTCCAAACAAGTAAAAAAACTCCAAACTCCTTTTTCTCAAAGCCACATGCAAAGCCAAAGTCAAAGGCGAGAAAGATCTCCTTCATTTTTTCTCATACCTTTTGGTTTTTAGGCATCATGGGTGGCAATGTAAAGCGTGAGATTGTTGAGCCGTTACCCAATCGACGAAACGCCGCCGTTTCCGGCGTTCCTCCCGCGGTAATCGAACTCAGTAGCAGCAGTGAAAGTAGCAGTGGTAGCGGGAGTGAGTCGGAATCCGAGATGGATGCAAATAGTGTCATCTCTAAGAGACCGAGGGGTCCTAGTGGTGTTAATGGAGGTACTGAGAAGAAGAAGAGGAGGAAGAAGAGGAGGAATTTTGAGGATTTAGGGGTTGTGTTGCCGTTGGGATTTCTTGCTCCAATTACGCCGCCGCCGGATTCGGAGACGCCCTCTGAAGCGGAGATCATGGCGGTGGAGTCGACGGAGAGTAGGAGAGTGAGTTTGACTGGTCAAAGTAGTAAGCAGTTCTGGAAAGCTGGTGACTATGAGGGTGCTCCTCGAGCTAATTGGGATTCATCTTTTGGTATTTTTTTATTTTATTCTGCAAGATACATTTGCACTTATTATTGTTAATTTGATTATTTGAGTCAGTTTTTTATTTATTGTTAATTGCAATGGGCATTGTAAAGGCTTGTTATTTTTTTTTTTTATATATATATATATAACTTGCAGGTGGAATGGATCATGTTCGGGTTCATCCAAAATTTCTGCATTCTAATGCAACTAGTCATAAATGGGCGCTCGGAGGTAAAGTTGATTCCTTTCTTTTCTACATTGATGATTACATATGGGGGACTGATCATTTTGTTTTGGTTTACTGTGATTTCATAAAAAAATTGTTTGTACTTCTCCGTTTTGCAGCTTTCGCGGAACTTTTGGACAATGCGTTGGATGAGGTTAGTTTTTTGTACTGGTTACTTTCGTGTTGTGAAACTTGCAGCTTTTGAGTTTTGATGGTTTATTTGTTTTCGTGTTAGTTTGGCAATGGAGCCCGGTTTGTTAACATAGATATGGTTGAAAGTAAGAAGGATCAGAGCAGAATGCTTTTGATTGAAGGTATGAGCTTATTTTTGCTTATCTGGTGTTTATCCTTGTTGGGTTTAGTTCTGACTCGAAGTTTAATGGATCACTGGTGATATTGGGCAAATTTCGAAGTATATGCAAGTTGTTTTGCTTCATTTGTTATGGAATGGGCTTGTTTTTCTCAATCTTAATTTTTCTAGTCATAAACAGGATGCTTTGAAGATGTTTTATTTGTCATTATGTGATGTGTCAGTTGTGCTTCTTCTTTTTTTTTAATCTTAGATGCCTGAGATATTTTCAGCTTCATATTATATTCTCTGCTTCATGTCATGTTTTCTTCCCATGAGAGTTTTTTTCTTGATGATGCTATTATATTCTTAACATGTGGTATCTTTTGTGGTGCTTTTTCTTTGTTACAGATAACGGTGGTGGAATGGATCCAGATAAACTGCGACAATGCATGTCTTTGGGTTATTCTGCAAAAAGCAAAGTGGCTAACACCATTGGACAATGTAAATCATTGTCTCTTGGGAAAGATGCATCCATTTTATTTTTCTGGCTGTAGTTTCTTAAATCGATGTATATTTTGTTATTCAGATGGCAATGGGTTTAAGACAAGTACCATGAGGCTTGGAGCAGATGTGATTGTGTTTTCACGTTGTCAGGGAAAAGATGGCAAATTGTTTGAGCTCTTTTTTTTCTTATAATCATGTTGTTGACATTTTGTTTTTTTCCTTGTGGATGGTGAATATTGACAGTTTTTTCTGTTTGGTTTTAGTCCTACACAGAGCATTGGATTGCTATCATACACTTTTTTGAGGAACACAGGGAAAGAAGATATTGTGGTGCCCATGGTAATTAATTGATCGTTCTAATTCATTGAACACACACAGACACACAGACTAAACATGCCATCTTATCTGTATTATGTAGCAGCAAACTCTGGATATCTTTAGGATGATTAATATCTTTGCTGTCCTCTCTTGGTGCCACAGTTTCCAATGACTTAAACTTCACAATATTGCTTGCTATTCTGTATAGTTCTCAAAATTGATCAGTTACTGTATTTGGTGTTAAATTTTTTTTCTAGTTGAGTTAGCTATTTTAGATCAAGTGTCGTACAGTCTAGTAAAAACTATACAATTTCTTCCTTTGGAGTAAGATTTTGGTTTTCTAGGATCTCTCCTCTTTACACCGTTCCTAATTGTGTTTAGAGTTGCATTTAGGAAAACCTCTCATTTTCTTACAGTGGTTTTAGGTTTTGGTTATCATTGGGCATTTTTTCTTTTTTCTTTTTTAGCATGAACTTCGGGCCTTCACTATGTTGGTGGTTTTGCTCCTTTTTTTTTTTTTTTTTATCTGTGTGCTATGCGGTGTGGCATGCATGATGCATAGCGAACTTATCTGTATTGCATACAGTGGCCATTTGGAGTTGCTGGCATTAGGTTATACTAGCATATGATTGAAATTTAGACAGAAGGATCTTGTTAAGAGGAATGCCCAAATTTGGGTTCTCAGCTCCTCTGTTACTATTTTGGTAGCAACACGCAACTGTTCAGTCTTGATTACATGTTATCAATACACCTTAGTCACTGTTTTAACTCCAATTTTTCACCATTTATGTTTCTGATAGTTTTATGTGTTAACTATGGAGGGTGAATCATGGTTTCCTGGAGATTAATAATTAAAAACCTTCAATGAAGTCATACACATCTAAACTTTGTTGTTTTGTGAATTTTTATGAAGCTTGACTATGAAAGAAAGGGACGGGAATGGAGCAGGATGTTTCGGTCTTCTACTGGTGATTGGAATAGAAATGTGGAGACAATAGTTCATTGGTCTCCATTTTCCAGTGAGGCAGACCTTCTTCGCCAGGTATTTACTGTTGATGAAGTGTAAAACAAAGAAAAATAATAATACACCTGTGTACATGCTCTTCTCTTGTCTTCTGTGTTTGGTCTCCATTATTTCTCTTTGATGGTCTAGTTTTCAGAATTATCATTGTATTGTCTATCTAGTTCATGCATATCATTTTTTATGCTGTAAACTTCTTCTTCTTCTTCTTTTTTTTTGTTAACTTCGTGTTTTTATACTTTATAGTTTAAGCTTATGTCAGATCATGGGACACGCATAATTATATACAATCTTTGGGAGGATGACCAGGGAATGTTGGAACTTGATTTTGACTCTGATCCTCATGTATGTCTTCAATGTCTAATCTAATTCCAAATAAGATTTTGAAACTGATCTTTTGGAGAGTATTTTTATGTGGTGTATAATCTGACAGGATATCCAACTAAGAGGCGTCAATCGAGATGAGAAGCATATACAAATGGCAAAAGAGTTTCCCAACTCCAGACACTTCCTTACTTATAGGCATTCATTAAGGGTAGCTAATCCCTCTATACTGTTGCTCTTATTCAAATGATTAATTTTTGTTCTCTAATCAGAATTTTGATTTCCTTAACAATTCATATCTGGTTGATTATCTGTGCTTTATCTAGCTGATCAAATTTTGATTCTGTAATCCACATTTTCTACTTTAATAGAATGATTTAGCTAATCTCTCCACACCATTATTTCTACGATTCATTATTTTGTACCTTTTCTACATTTTCTACTTTAATAGAACTAGTTTTCGTTGAGTGCAACATGTTGGATCTTCATTGTTTAACTTGGGGAATTTCATAAAGCATAATGATTATTCAAGTAGCAAGAAATTTCAATTTCTTTACCTTTTAATATAATCAAGATATATTATCAAAATCTTGAGAAACTCGACATGAAATTGTTAAATGCTTGAAAAAGACTCTTTTTGGCTGAAACCATTTTGTTTGGAAATTCCTATAGTGGCATTTTTAGTTCACAAGTTTAACACGGCATAGGTGTTTTTGCATCTATTTTACTATTTAGAAAAAAAAGAAAAAGAAATTGTAAGAATGTAGGGAACAGGTTGATATAAAGTGGGGATTAATCCGAATAACTCCATTTGTGACCTGCTTAAATTTGTGGAAATTAATATGGTTTGACTAATTTGTCCTGTTCAATTAGACAGGCTTATTTCTTTGGCTGTTTTAAACATCCTTGATCTCTCGTTTAGCAACTGATTGGTTGATGCTTATCTACTTCCATGTCAACCTCCAGAATTATACATCAATTCTCTATCTCAGACTGCCTCCCAGCTTTCGAATCATTCTCCGTGGAAAAGATGTTGAGCACCACAATATAGTGAATGATATGATGCTATCTCAAGAGATAACGTACCGGCCACAACCTAGTGCTGACAGTGTTCCGAAAGACACAAATGTAATACAACTTAACTTGGTTGGATAATTCTCTTCTTTGCTTATTCTGTTACTGATTGCTCGCATCTATTGTCAGCAGATGACTGCTGTCGTCACCATTGGCTTTGTGAAGGATGCAAAGCATCACATCGATGTTCAAGGGTTCAATGTTTACCACAAAAATCGACTAATCAAGGTTTGTTTTGCTTTCAGAGAAATTATCATTGATTTTCTTTTCTTTTTTGTTGTAAAACTCAGTGATGCTGTGATACTGAATGCATGATGATGTGTTTTTTTTTTTTTTAATTATTATGTCCATTTATATTTGGTTCTTGGCCCTTTTTCTTTGTTTGAACTTTTGTGCGCTTGTGTCTTCTCCAGAATGGATGAGTATGGTTAGAAATATGGTCAGCAAAAAGTTCGCAACGTGCCCCATTTCTCATTTTGTGAATGAACTGTGAACAGACATGTGTTTGAACCATGAGCAGATTCATTAATGTTCCATGGCAAAAGCTAGAGGAATTAACAAAGTGTATGAACTTATACTGCATTTTGGTCTGAAAAATCATGTAAAAGTTGGAAAGTGGGCGTAAATACTTTGGGGTAATGAATAATTGAGGGAAAATGAATTGCATGTATCATTGGATTTGACATTTTTATATTTTTGCATCCAGCAAAAAATGCCAACCCCAATTTTTTAATGTTTCACTCATAAATTTGTTGACGATGCATTTTAAATACTCTCTCTTTTCAAATTATCATGTCCTTTAAAGCATGCAGATGGAAAGTATTTAATATGTTAATATGCAGATGTATTTAAAAGAATCCATCTGAATTATCAACAAACATTTGATTCCCAAAGCATTGAGTTGCTGTAATTTGAGTACGCCAGACAAAGTTAATTGATTGCAATTGTTCTTAACAAAGCACTGTCTGTTTTATAGCCATTTTGGAGGCTTTGGAATGCAGCTGGAAGTGATGGACGTGGAGTTATTGGTAAATATTTGCATTCCATTCCCCCGGCTATCCATTTCTAATACTTTGTAAACATTAATGATTCTATCTCTGCTGACAGGTGTGTTGGAAGCTAATTTTATTGAGCCAGCTCATGATAAGCAAGGATTTGAACGCACAACAGTTCTTGCAAGACTTGAAGCTCGATTAGTACAAATGCAAAAGCATTACTGGTTTGTTGTTCATGTTTCTAACTGATTGGTATCAATTGCTCTTCAGGATATGTGAGGTTTAAATCCTACTAATAGCTGTGCACAACTTTCTTAGGTGCACTTACTGCCACAAAATTGGTTATGCTCCAAGGCGAAATAAGAAACTGATAAATGAGTCAGATAGAGGTATATTTTGGGATGTTTTAATGTTTCCAAGTATATGGTGTCTTGCATCAGGCATTGCCTTCTTCTATTGCATACTAGTTTTGAAAGCTTTCTTATTACCCCCTTACTGATCTCACACGAAGTTGTCTTTCCAAATGAAGAGAATTCTCCTGATGATCTACCACCCACATCTTCTCAATCTAGAAAGAAGTATACTTGTTTGAGCAGTAAGATATTCCCCTCACATTCTAACCGTGGGTATGTTAATGGAAATGCCTTCAATAAAGGGAATATTAGAACAAAGACCCCAACCAAATTGGGAAAAAACACTGTATCTTCGGGACCTTCACCTCCTGCTCAAGATGAGAGTAGTGAAGATGATGAGCGTGTTGCTCTTCTTATGAGAGAAGCAAATGGGAGCACTCAAGAGACCACTCCTACTAACAAGTCTTTTGACAAAAATGGGTTGCCTAAAACATGTTCGTCCTCATACTTTGAAGATTCTGGAGGGGCACAAATAGACACAAGATCCCAACCAAAGGTTGCTTCTCTTGCATCATTTTTTTTATAAGTTCTATGCCAATTTACAGGCCACACTTGTGGAAAGGTGCTTTTAGTTGATGATGTTTCCAGATGCTGTCCTTTTTATCTCTATTTTCTGGTGTACTTTTAGCTGGTGATGTTTTCCAATGCTATCCTTTTTATGTCTCTTTTGTGATGTGGGATCTTATCCCTGGTAATAACCCAGATGGTAGTTTTAGAGATAGAAAGCTCCTTTGACAAGTTCCTTGTCTGAAGTCGATCAGAGACTCCCCGGTCATTAAAAGATCTACATTGAGCTGCTTGAAGAACTATTGCAAAGAAGCAGACCATGTTAATGATAGCTGTCGAAGATTTTTCTACTCCTTAAATCTTAGGTCACATCTGATTATAATTAACAGAAAGGCTTGGTCAACTGTCAAGTGCTTCATGTTGTCAAGCAATTTTATTTCCTTATTTTTAGTAAATGTTGAGATTGATTTAGGTTTGCCATCCTTTCTTTGTGTTCTGTGCCTCTGCATTTTTTGTTGGAGTTACAGAAATGATATCCAGGCTGTTTAATTGACAGGTGGGTTATGTTGATAAGAGGGATCATGCCCTTGCTCATTTGAAACAAGAGAATCGTGAGCTAAAAGAAAGGTTGATTTTTTCTCCCTCTGATCTTTTAAGAACTATGCTTCCTTCTATTTTATTTATCTCCTTCCTTGGTTTGCAGATTACAGAAACTGGAAGGAGAGACTCAAGGGAAGTACATGAGTGGTTTTCAGTGTGAGAAGTGTAAATCACTTGAGATACAGGTATACAACATCTCCACTTGCCATTAGTTAATGTGTTGGATGGGATATCAGGAATATAGGATTCCAGTTGTATGCTTTAGGTGCTATTGTTTGCCACATGGCTTGTTGAATTTGAAATCTCCTGAAACGTTAATTCCCTTTCTGCTTCTTCAGTTGCAGGAAGCACAGCAAAAACTTGAAGAATCGAACAAGGAACAGGAAAGTCTGATTGATATATTCTCAGAGGAGAGGGACCGACGAGACCAGGAGGAGGAGAGTTTGAGAAAGAAGCTAAAGGTTTTTTGCATTATCCCTCCCTCTTGTCACCACTGGGGAGAATTTGTTGCCTGTGCTTTTTAATTTGTTTTTTTTCTTCTCTTATTTGTCATAGTTGGATGACTCTTGAGGTGTATCCTTGCAGGATGCATCAAATACTATTCAGGAGTTGCTCGACAAGGTCAGGCTGTTGGAGAAAAGATGAAATCTCATCTCAAAGGACTATGCTTGAGAGCACTTCGTATCAATCTCCTCCACTGGTTATCTTGTGCATATTGTAGTCTTCCTCTTTAGTGTCTGGTTTTCATCATGACCTTAAGCTGACGTAGCTTTCGAGATTCGCTAACATAGGAGCTGGGTTCATGTTTTTTCTTCACTAATCCCTTGTCTTTGCACTCTCTCCTGGCATCCTGTTCTCTCATTTCGGGCACATTTCCTACTATTTGTGCGGAGGAAAACGGGGAGAAGAAGAGCTCCATTTGTGATTGTATAGAGATCCCATACCTTGAGCTGTAGGCACATTTTTGTAAATTCCGTATATAAATCCCGCATGCGTCTCCCTCTTACTTGAGTTTGGGTAATCATAACAGTGGAAAATTATCATATCTATTGCATGCATGTCGGTATGTTGCTGCCTGTTTGCATCATTGATGAAGTCACTGGCTTATTTTAATTTCCATATAAATTAAATAAAATAAAATTTAGAAAACTATCACGTCGCATCGTTTAGGCATACTAACTAGTTCCGCTTAGAAAATGAGTCTAAAATACTATTATTCGATTAATGAGGTTTGAGAGAGGATTCCATTAATGTGTTTTTTTTTAACTAAATTACCTGTAAAATCGAAACCTATAATATCAATATTAAAATTAAGATTTAATCACCAAGACACATTGAATGCAATGATTTCAAACCCTTTTTCGGACCCTCATCTCCTGGGCTCCAAGCTTCCCACTCAGCACCTTCCTCTAGCCACCATCTCTTGAGCATGCTCTGCGTGTCCTCTGTTCTTCACTTATCATTTCAATTCATCAATTACTTGAGTCTCATTTCCTTTCGAAGAGCATAATCCCCTCTTATGGACCATAATAATAACAAAACCATCTTTATTATAAAAACAATTACATGTTATAAAAAATGCTCTACAAAAGTCTAATTTTTTCCTTGTAATTCACAATTGTTCCTTGCAAGATTTTATATGTTGAAAACGTTATAAGATCTTTTTATTATTAATATTTTTAAATATTTTTTTAATATAAATAACTAAATAGTCATTCGACTAATCACCTCTAATTTGATTGATTGCATAACTGATTTTTAATCACTTTTATCCCTTGAAAATATCAACCAATTATCACTTATAATTCCAATTTTTTCAATTTTCGGTAATTAAATCAATTAACACCACCATTATTCTTTTAACTATCAACCCTCTATCACTTATAATATTTTTAATGTTTTCAATTCATCAATGTCGAGGTGGATCCTGAAAGAAAATTTCATCTGTATTTATTTAAATCTTCTTACCTACATTATAATTTTTAAAAAATTTATAATATTTTGTTGAAGTTTTATTTGAAAACAAATAAAATTTCAACAAAAAAATATTAAAAAATAATAATTAAAACTAAAAGGTATGGATATGAAATAACAATAATAATAAAGGTTATAGTGTATTTACTAGAATAATAGAAAGAAATAAAAAGAAAAAAAAGAGTCATTAGCAATACACTGGTCAAATTCGAAGAGCACATGTCGCCTATGATAAAAAAAAGAAAACAGAAAATAAAATGAGATGGTAAAAATTCATTATTGACCACGAGAAATCACTATACATGTAGCCCAAAGTGTATGGTAGCTCCAACAAGCTAATAACTTTTTAAATATAAAATTATTATTTTAATAATAAATCATGTAAATACACTTAAATAAACTTTCAATTAACTAAAAAAATCAAGGCTAAAAGATTCAAATGTCTCTACCTACAATAAATTTAATGTCTTACATCTAAAGATACATATGTTATTATACCGTGTATGAAAAAATAAAAATACTTAAATATCCCTACCTAAGACCATTTATTTTTTTATTTTTGAGAGTATTTATTTTATTTTACTGTTTATTAAAACATTAAATATATAAAAATACTTCCAAAGAAATTAATAATAATTAATGTATATTATAAAAATACTAAAATAATCCTAATTCAAATACATGTATTTATTTTTCAATGAGAAAGATAAAATGACCATTACACGGTACTGGTAAATGAAAAAAAAATGTGGGAGGGGCTTCAGTGATTACTCTTTGTTTTATTTAATAATCTTCTTTTACATGTATAATTCAACCATATATTTCTATGGCACCTCCTCCATTGTATACGGAATGCTCAATCATTTTCCATGTACCTCCTCCCTCTCCTATCTTTATCATGATCTTAAAAAAAATTCTTCTCCTCGAAGAACTATTTCTTGCATTCATTTTTGCCTCTTGATTGCCATGCTTTTCGAATAAAAGGAAAGAAAGAAAGTAGAGGTCACGAGCTCAGAGGGGCAAGGCCTAGAACCATCGGGTTCGGTGCATGACAAGAAAGAAAGCTATTATGGTGGAACCCCCTCCGAGCATTTTATCTCACTAGCTGCACCTAGTCACCATCAAAGAATACCCGCAAAAATACAAAACCCAGGTCTCAAGTCTCAAGCGCGAGAGTAATAACGTCAACTGCCCAGTTTAGAAAACCCAAGTATCTGGTCTTTCCCTAATCTCTCTCTCAATCTGTATCCAAACAAAACGCACGCGTTTCGGTGTTGATTGTTCTGCATCTCTCTCTCTCTCTCTCTCAGGTGAATACGGAAGGAAGAATCAGTGAACTCCTCTCCAACTTCCGGACGTATACCATACACGATACACCCACACATACACTCACTTTGTATGGATGTACGTATCTATTTGAATACGGTTTTTTTAGCTTGAAGGGTACGAGTTATAAATGCAGTGTTCAGAGGAAGATACTGGTGTTTTTTTGTCATTTCTGGCTTCAAGATCATCCTCTTCTCTCTGTCTCTGCTTTTTGTCTACACCGTTATAGCGTAGTAAATTCCGCAGTCTGCAGCAGCACCTTTTTTTTTTTTAATCTTTATCTTTCCTCAACAACTTCCTCTGTTGAAAACTCTGCCTATTTTGTTTTTCATTTTTCATGCTCGCTTTCTTTTGTTTACAGGTCTGTTCCATATCTCCGTAGTTCAGGCTTCCAGTGCATGCTTGGAAGTGAGTTTTTAATTGTATTTGAGCCCGTTTTAAAAATATATTTAATTTAAAAAGCATTAAATTGGTATTTTTTAATGATTTTAACATGTTAATATTAAACGAAATTTAGCAATTATTTTTTTTAAATTTTTAAATAAAAAATGCTTTTGAACAGCCTTCGAAACATTTAAAAAATCTTTCTCCCCTCGTGTACCTAAGATGTTTAATTTCATAGGCAGGGGAAGTAGTTGTAGCTGTTTCTTTTCTGTGTTTTGAAAGTCAAATCTGAACCATTTGTTTCTCTTATAATCTGACGGTCGTTCCTTGATGTGATATATCTACAACTACATAATACCTCCATCGTTATATTTTTGCAGATTTTTGAGAGAGAGTGTGAGAGAGTGAGAGAGCGAGTGAGTGAACATCTTATCAAAAACCAAAGCTCTCCCCGAGTCAGACTCCGTCGTTTTGTTCTTACTCATTTTCGAGGTGTTCTATCATTAGTCAGTCTCTTCGTCTTTGACTTCTTGGAGACGCCTTTCCTTTTGACAGTTTGAAGAAGGGAAGCTTTTGAGTTTGAGAGGGTGTCAATGAGTTTTTCTTCTTCGACGATGAGGAAGGTGGTTTCGAAGATAATTGGCGTCGTTTTGGTGATGGTCCTCTTGCTGGCTATACTGATATCCAAGTCTTCATTTCTCTCAGGTTTGTCTCTGGATTTTTATTTATCTTGATGGATAAAAGTGATTATTTATTTATTTATCATTGAAGTGGTGGGTTTTGGTTTTAATAACCTTTTGTTTTTGTTATAAAATCCAAGATACCTGATCCATCTCATCATCTGTTTTCATTCCTCTAATTATTATTATTATTTTTTATTCTGTTTTGCTATTTTTTAATATTAATTTCCAGGTTCGGGTAAAGATGAAGGTGGATTCATGGGCTTGAGCCACATGTTTCTTCACGAGGAAGGGAATTACAGTGCCTCTTCCCTGCATCGCAAGCTGCTTGTTCGCTGTAAGGACTCATAAATTTTGCAAAATTATTTTAGGTCTTGCTTCTTAAAAAAGAAAATAAATATCAGGTGGATTTTGCAATTTCTTTTTAATATGGGATTTTGGTTTTTTATATCTTCGAAATAAAATAAATGGGGGCCAAAACAAAGTGTTATGACGTGGGGGGCGGTATACGTGAGTCTTTTGTGGTTCATGACACTCCCTGATAACACATACCCTTTTATTTCGCCAGCAGGGAAGACCGTCGGCACATTATTCAGATGAGCGTACGATATACTTGTCAGAGGTGCACGTCCGTGTTTTCTAGCTATGTTGCATGTTAACGTGCACCGCTGGCAAATTGTGGTCCCCTACACTACGGACACCCTTCTTCAACAATTGGGCTGTCGTAGTAGTAGTAAATAGTAACACTAAGTATCTTCTTGATGGGATTTAGAATCCCTTTTATGTTTCTGTCAACCCTTTTTAGCCTTCCTGCTCAAAAATTTGTGAGCAGTGCCTTAGCAAATTGTTTTGGGCCAAAAGGTCTGGTTGAGTTTTCAATCTTTGTGCACGGGGAAGGGCACCATTGAACTTTGAATAAAGGATGGATCATGAGTTAATTTTCTCTGTTCCTCTCTCACATAATTCCTGTGATTCGCCTCCAAAAAGTATTTTTTGTCTTTTCACGATTCCCTTTTGGTGGGTCAGTACGTGGTTGAGTTCACATCACGTTTTAATGAGGCTGCCAAGCGTGTTGCTACATTTTTTTTATATATATTTTTAAAAAGCATAGCTTTCACTGTCATGGAATTTAATAAAAAGTTTGCCTTTTACCTTGTTTGTATCTGCTTCACACAGCGGTGGCAAAGGAAGAACCTAACAGGATCGGAGAAAAGTGTACAAGCGCTGATATTGTGATTAGTCAGGGACCCACAGCTCCTCTCTCTAGTGGCATACCTACTTACACTGTTCAGATCATGAACATGTGTGCCACTGGATGTGACATCTGCAGGGTTCACCTCAACTGTGGCTGGTTCAGCTCCGCTCGCCTCGTCGACCCCAAGATATTCAAGCGGCTTCGCTACAACGACTGCCTTGTAAACGATGGAAAGCCTTTGGTAGCTGGTGGCATTCTCACCTTTGAATATGCCAATACGTTCTCGTACCCTTTGTCAGTCTCCTCCATATCATGCCATTGAAGAATATCCAAGACCAAAAACTAGCACGTAGCTAACAATAACAAGCAACATTGGCATATTTTATAGCGCACACTGCTGGATTTTTGTCAAACACTTACTGCCCAGAGGCCCTTGTGTGTTTTGGATGGATTTTTTCGGGGCGGATTGAGAGGTTTAGAAATTAGAATACGGTACAGGGACTTGCAGACTGAATTGGGACGAAGCAATTAGATGTGATTCTGATTTTTTCTGGGGTGACCTCCCGGTATATGGTTTATATTCGTATATTGTAGTTAATATTTGATCATGGATGCGAGAATTTGAAGCTGTGATCAGAGAATGTTTGTGTTGTTATGGTGGATGAGGAGGGCGTGGGTGGGTAAATGATTTTGGCTACTCAAGCACTGATCCGTGTTGTCTAGTGTTTTGCACTTCACAAATCTCAGAATGGTCTCGTACTCTCTCTGTTAACCAAAACTTGCTGCTTCCCATGTAAATGTAAAGTTTGTTTAAAAAACGTTTTTAAAATTATTTTTACTTTAAATTATTTTTTAAAATTTTAAATTGATTTAATAAAGCACATGCAAAACACTAATTTAAATACAAACACACTATTAAACTACTATGCAATTTTTATATTTTGATGAGTTCACATGTGAACTATCCATGCATATAAAAACATTTAAATGCCTATGAATAGAGATTTTGACGTTTTTGGTGTGTGTTTTTTTATTAGAGTGTATCACCTTTTTTTTTTTTAATTATATTATCTGGACATTCTTGACTATAAAAATCAGTAGCATTTGTAGAAATTTAAAAAAATATAATACCTCAATTATAAATTTATTGATAATAGAGTACAATACATATAGGCTAGAATCACTTCCTAATACAACTGGCAACTAGATTTGATTCTATCCTTGATTATAAAGAAAATACATAATAATTACATGATTATATAAAATAGAAAATAGACATAACATATAAAAAATATAATAAATATAGGATTTTGTATATTGTTTTTTGATGTTGTAGTATATGCTCCATTAATTTTCAATATCTGCAATATCTGTAAGGATTTATAATTTATACTCTAATCTTCAAGACTCTCTCTCAAACTAGATCTATTGGAGTAACTAATCCAATCTTGCTGAGCAAATGTTGAAACTAATCAGATGACAGGATTTTGATAAATACATCAACAAGTTGATCATGGGTGCAAACATAGAATGTCTGAACAAGTTTAGCTTGAACTTGCTAATGAATTTAATGGCAATCTACTTTGAGATGTTTTGTGCGTTCAAGAAAGACTGGATTAAAGGCAATATGCATGACAACTTGATTGTCATAAAATAAAATCATGTGTATGAGACAAAACTGAGATTTGCAAGTAAATTCTTGAGCCAAATTAATTCAAATGAAACAGATGGCATTGCATGATATTCAGCTTCAACACTTAAGCGTGTGACCACCTGTTGTTTTTTGCTCTTCCAAGACACTAAAATGCCTCTAAGAAACATGCAATATCCAATGGTAAAATATTTTTCTAATGCATTTCTTGCCAAATTAAAATATGTATATCCTATAATATTTGTATGTTCATTGCGTGTCATAATAATGCCTCGACCAATAGTTCATTTTAAGTATCGTAGAATACGCTTCATCATGTCAAGATGTTAAGCTGTAGGATCATGCATATATTGGCTCAATAAGCTAACATCAAATGTAATATCTAGTCTAGTAATTGTCAAGTAAATTAATTTTTCAACAATCCTTTGATAAATAGTGAATGTTGGGAGAGGTTTGCTTGATGAATGCAACCGCAACTTTCTGTTAAGAGGAGTAATAGTTGGCTTGGTATATCATATTTCATCATCCTGTAGCATGTCTAAGATATACTTTCGTTGGTTAAGAAACACACCCTTGCTAGAAATAGCCATTTATATCCTCAAGAAATACTTCAGCTTCCCAAGATTTTTAATAGAGAATTGCTGCTGCAAGTCAACCTTTAATTTTGTAATAGAGGTTTCATTACTTCTAGTGATAATTAAGTCATCTACATATATAAGCACAATCAACTTGTCTGTATAATTTTATTGAATAAACAATGAAGAGTTAGCATTATGTCTTATGAAACCAAATGTCTGTAAAGCAATACTTAATTTGGCATGCCATGCTAATGGGCTCTGTTTCAATCTATAGATGGATTTGTGAAGTTTACAGACCAGGTTAAGAGAGTGACTTTATGGATGTCCTAAGGGTAGCTCCATGAATACTTCCTTTTCAAGTTCTTCCTACAGGAATGTATAGCGCACATTTATTTAATATAATGACCAACCTTGATTAACTATTGCAGATAACAAGACACGTACAATAGTTATTTTCATAACTAGAGCAAAGGTTTCCTTGTAGTTGATTCCAAATTTCTATGAGATCCCTTGAGCTACAAACTAGGCTTTATGCCTTTTAATTATTTCATCTGAGTTGAATTTTGTCTTGAAAATCCAATGGCAACCAACAATGTGTTTACCTATAAGAAGAGGCATGATACTTTATGTCTGATTATCAACAAGTGCACTAAATTCTTTTGTCATAACCTGCTACTATACAGCTTGGGATTGAGCTTATTAAAATGACTTAGGTTTATGATTTTTAGAGATGGAGGTGAGGAAGGCTCAATGGTATGAGGATAATTTATTATATGACAGAACTTTAGAGACTGGATGCTTGACAGTATATGTTACATACTTTTATAATCTGGGAGGAGGCTGACATGCTCTGTGAGACATTCTTCTAGGAACTTCATCATATTGAATAACAGGGGCTTCTATACTAGGCTAAAGAACATCAGGTGTTGGATATACATCCAGAAGATCTGCAACAGTGGTGGAAAGAGATTGATTAACAATGAGTTGAACTCTAATATCTGGAACTTTAGGAACCTGTTAGGACAGAGAACATATATTTTGATCATAATAACTGGAACTAGGTGGCAGAAACAAATTAAAATCATCATCTTTTTGACTTGTGACAAGATAATAAGGCATATCTTCAGAAATTCAAACATATCTTGAAACATACATTTTCTTTTGTAAGGGATCATAATATCTGTATCCCTTTTGTGTTAGAGAATACCCCAAGAAGATGCATTTGACAGTTATGTAATTAAGCTTGTCCCATTTTGATGAGGGTAAGTGCATGGGCATCCAAATAACTTTTGA